TATGGTCATTATTAAGAATTATGCATACAATCGTGTGTGTTATACTCTTACACAACTGTCAGTGGAGTGTGTTGCTTACACCAGCACTATTACAAAGCACACCAGAAATGCAATGACTGACCAATTCTGCAACATCCTAAGGCAATCATCTGTCAGTTCCATTATAATCTATGGGATTGCATATATGTGATCTACCACTGGCCAAAATGACACCATGTAGTGCATCCCTCAGATCCTTTTTAAATTCTATTTTAGTAACACATGCTGCACATGAAGTTTTATTTGTCTTAGGAAGTAGCTACCTGTGCATAGTACATCTTGATCCTTTTTATTTCCCTTACCCTCCTCACTCAGCCCCCTCTACCTCTAACTCGCCCTCCCCACTCAGTTTCCTCCTTCCATCGCTAAATCTCCTGTTCCCATCTTCATTACTGTTGTCATTGTTTATGTTTATGACATATGATATTTATATGCATTGTATTTGGTCCATGTACAGGACCTTTCTTAGCCTTTGATCCATTTTTGTGGATGGAAAGGACAGATACTCCACGAGGAACAAAAAGAATCTTAAATCTCAGCAAACACTGTTTTCTTAGCTGTTTAAAATTAGGTTATGGTTAAAGTCCATGCCAACTACTTTAATGACATCTAGTTTGAAATTTGTTTTCTATCACATATTGGAGAGGATACCATGATACCGTGAGCAGCTCAGCATAACCTTCCTGGGGCACAGGGCATCTAGACATTGAGTTTTACCATTTGTAAACATCTTTTGTTTTCCTAAGCACAGTTCTCTTGTCTTCTTTGCACATCCTCATTGCAATGTCAGATCCAAGAGGTAGAAATCCACTTGCAGGTTTCTGAATAATGTAAATTTATCAAAGAATGTAGTAGTGAATAAGAGACTAAACAGCTCAATATTTGGCACACTGTGATTTTACATTCCTCACGGTAGCTCCTTCTTCAACACTACCACTGTGCCCTGCCATTCTTTTTTAATGAGTAGCTCACCCTCCTCCCACAGTTATTCATACAGACATGCTGAATAATTTTCTTCCCCTTGGCTGGCATAACAACAAAGCTCAGAAGCCGGAAGGAACACCATTTACAGGCAGGTCAGATGATGATGTAATTAACAAATGAAGGAGGGGTATTTCAGAAAGCCCCATACAGCACGTTGCAGGCTGACTTCCCAGGCCAGGATACTACCAGGAAATCAGAGTCTCTAGAGCATCGATATCTACATCTAAATGGTTTCTCCAAATGAATAGAAGCATATGTAAATATTACCCTTCCTGCAGATGTTAAAAGCTTCGTGCAGAACTTTTAATTAGAAACAAATGTAAAAGCACTATGGGAGAGGATTCCCCTGCCTCCTACACTGAGCAAGGTTCAGGATGTGTGTTTTTTTGCATTTTTGCCAAATATGTTTCTTGTTGACAGGAATCCATCACACAGGAAACAAAGCCAAGCCACAGAGAACCAGGTTCCACAAGTTCCACAAGTTCCACAATAAAGGTGATTAAACTTAGCCCCCGCTTATAGGAGGAAAACTAGTGGTGGAGTTTGTCAACAGATGATTTCATACAATCACAGGCAAGAGAATTTATGAGTTTACAGTTTCAGCCACAAGTCCATCAAAGGCAGAAATGAGCTATCTTGTCCTGTCTTCCCAAGAAAAACAAAGAAGAAACTGACTAAAGGATCAGACTTCAGCTCCTGACCTCAGAGGAACTAGAAAACACGGAGGTATGCCTTTCAAAATATACTTCAAACTGCTACGACAAGCCATGTGATGAGATTCTCCAGCTATGAACAAGAGAGGTGTACCTCACTCAGGTTGTATTTTCAGTCCAAGAAAAGAGATCCACTGTTGTGAAGAAATTCCTCATTCCATGCTGCAAAAACATTGGTCACCTTTACTGTCTGCATTTCTCATAATGTACAGTATGAAGTGGAGGACTGAGAAGTACTCATAGGCCAAGAAAATATCAAATATCCACAAAAATAAAATGTTAGCCATGAAAATGAAAAAATATATTTAAATTACCAAACATTTAAAATGAATTTAGATGTTCTTATACCTTTTCAACTTAAGAATCAAGTGATATGAGAAACAACACATACACACACACACACACACACACACACCACATGATCAAGATAAAAACATCAAAGGAATTTTCATACTTTGGTAAAATAACATGAATTAAGAATTTCTCTCCACTAGGAAGAATGTATGCAATGTGTTAATTATTGTAACTGTCCTACCAATTTGAAAAAATAAAAAAATAATAAAGTAAAAAAAAAAAAAAGAATTTCTCTCCTAGTGCAAAATTACTCCTAAGACTCCTCAGGGCAGAGACCAGGTCTTATACATATTTATATCCCAAGCATCTACCGCAGTACCTGGCAAATAGTAATCAACCAACAGTAAAATGGATAGTTATACTCACTGCACATGGGACAGAAAATATATTAAAGGCTTGGCATATGCTCATCAGCAATTCAAAAGCTAAAAATATTGATAATTTGGTGTAACACAGAAGCTTCTATACAGGAAGGCAGAAATCCCTGAAAGAAATGTTTCAGTACCCAGGAGCCATTGCTGTAGGTACCTTCTTCCTAAAGTGGAATGCACGACTTGTACGGCAGCTTGGCCCCAATCCCATGTCCAAAATAATCAGTTGCACAAAGCAGATTTAGTCCCCAAACTGTCCGGACTTTGTTCTTTCACCAACATCTGGGTTCAGCATGATTTCTGACCTCTACCTCAAACTGGAGATATCAAACACTATGAACCTTACTCAACAAGAAAATAACGTCAAGTCAAGGCCAGGAGAACCAGAAGCTGCCATGAGCAGATACACTTTAGAGAAATGATTCCGACATTCATACAGATGTTTCTAAACATCTGACATGTTGTAACAACTTTGCCCAAGAGGAATTCTGAAGACACTTTCTCAGATTTAAAGTATTCACACCTTTGAAGAGAAAGGTATTTTCCAGAAGGCTAGTTTTACTAGGCAGATAAAATAAACTCTTTTTTTTTTTTCCTAGAGACAGCATACTTTTCTCTTTGCTGTAGAATTTGGCTGCAAAAACCTAGTTCATAATCTGAGATCTAAAAACTGATTATTTTTAAAAGACATGTCTTAAACTGACCCACTTTGGAAACCTGCATGCCTTTATGTTGCCACTGAACTGAAACCATTCATGAGAATGGGGCTTTAGAATGCTCAGAATGTTCTTCAGGGCTCAGCACAGATATTTGGCACAGATGACTGTAAATATTTGTAAAACCCTGGGTAAAAGGATGGTATTTGACCACCCTCGAGCTTTCCTTCCAGCACAGCAGTGAAAGAGGGAGTTATCTAAGGTGATAGTTTTGGGGAGTTCTGGATTGAGTTTCCTTTTTCTATTTGTTGAAATACAAAGCCAAGCAACCCAAATCTGCTACTTGATGTCCCTTCACACTCACTATACACATCTATCTAGTAGTTTTTAACCCATCAAAACACAGTTAGTTAGTTGAAACAGAGGGGTTTTTCCCCCATTTTTCTAAATGCAACCCCCACAAAGGATAAAATACCAGCCAAAAGTATAAAAGTGCAAAGCAGGGGTTGGGTAAAAATCATAGCTTTGGATTTCACAATGCATTATCTATTATCTAATACAATTAGCTTTCTGAGTTGGCTACAGATTTTTTCCTCTCCTTCATGTCAAGGTAGTTTGAAAAATACTTAAAGTGCCAGGCATGGCGCTTCACTCCTATCATCCCAGCACCCAGGAAAATCACAACTTCAAGTCCACCCTGGGCAGTTTAGAAACTCAGCAAGACCTTTTCTCAAACTAAAGAAAATAGGAGGGAGCTGGGATGTAGCTCAGTGTGAAGGCCCTGGGTTCAATCTCCAGTATGGGGGGAGAGGGAGAACCAAAAAGAAAGAAATACCACTTGTGGGGCCGCTGCCCATGGAAAGGCCAAGGCTTAGAAAGGAGGGCACAGTAAAGAGGAAGGACCACGGAAGAAGAAGGTGTGGCAAGGTCTGCAGACCAAGAGGTTCTCCGTGAAAGCTGCAGCCTATGCTTTCATTAGCCTGCAGCCCAGGACTGGCTGGGCTCCTTTCGCCTCTCACCCACACCCAACAACTGAGTCACCCCAAAGTTCACTTACTTTGTTTCTGAGCACAGACACCCCTCATCCGCTGTTACAGAAATATGAACTATGTTGTCCTTTAATTCATACGTCCCGAAGTACAAATAAACACCCAGGAGTGCCCAAGCAGGAGAACACTGATATTCCTATGAGGATCGGCAGCTCAGGCTTCATGAGGTATCTGCAGCAGCGAGCGGTGAGAAACTGTCTACAGCAGAAACCTTCACCGGAGGCTAAAGCAAGCGAGCACTGGCTGGGAGAGGGGAGCAGATTCTGAGAAATTCCAGTGGTTAGCGTCAAGAGCAGATTTACAGGAGTCCCTGCAACTAACAAGGAGAGCAAAAGGCAGCCTAGAAGGAGCACACAAAAGATACCTCTTTCCTGTTCAAGCAGAAATCTGTTTCATTTTAACTCAAACTTGAGAACAGGATCCGAATTTTACTATTTTATCAGCACTACGTGATAAATAATCATCGTGACACTCGGTCAAGGTTCCAGGGTTACTGTCATAGCTATGTGTGTCAGCGTCTTGCTCTGTGTTTCCAGAGGACACAAGGTAGACACTTTCGGTCTCATCTGCAGCGCTATAATCCATTCTGCAGAGACAATCTTAGTAGACGTGAAACTGATTTGTTTACCTTTACAAAGACATCTATTTTTAAAAGTTAACAGGTGTTCAAGCAATTCAAGATGCACGCAATTCTGGATGGTGTAATCCCAGGAAGCAGAAAATAAAGCCCCATCTATGGTGTCACGGTGAGCCTCCCCTCTTTTTTCTGGCGCTCACCCTAGCACCATCCCTGCTCACACAGTCTGCAGCTGGCGGAAAGCTCGCTGAACCTACCTGGCTGGAGAGCGGGGTCGCCGGGCTTTTCTGGAGCCTGCCGCGAGCGCAGCGCCGGCCCAAACTGCACGCAGCCCGCACAGAGGAGCTCTCGCATGCTCTGCCCGCGCCCTCCGCGCTGCGGCTGACAGCGCTGCACTTCGCCGGGCTGCACCAGCCCTTGCGCCCAGACCTACCAACCAGCCGGGAAGGGGAGGAGCCCCCGCCACCTCCCCGCCTCGCCCGCCGCCGGCAGCCGCGACGCCCCGGAACCGCGCGCTGGGAGCGTGGGGCGCAGCCCGCCTGCAGCCGCTGCCACAGCTCTGGAAGCCGCGAGGTTATTTGTACAGGAAGCTCGGGCGCCGCACTTCCTACTTCCCATCTGGGTCGCTTAGGCTGCAGGTGGTGGCCTTAACCCTGTCCGCACCTCGCCGCGTGTGCGCCCTGTAATCCGGCCTGCGGCTGCTGCAGGGTCAGGACCAACAGCCAGCTCCCCGGGGGCGCTGCCGCAGAAACCTGGGGCCGCACCGTGGGACAGCAGCCGGTGCCCTTCCTCCAGCTCCCAGCCGCAGGGTGCAAGCTCCCTTGGCCTTCAGCGCATGCCACAGGCCTCTGTCTTCCCCGCTGGTTCCCAGCTCTCCAAATCTTTTTTCTACCTCCAAGAGCCCAGACCTGCCTGTCTGCCCACCTCATCAGAAAACGGTGTACAGAAACACGTCCCATGCACCTCTCTCATAAATGCCTGATCGGTACCTGATATGTCCTTTCACGCCTAATGATGAATTAGAATATAGAATACAGTCAAACCAAGCCAAGAACAGTACATGTGCCTCACAAAATACAGGCATGGGGCTTTGGGAAACCATGATGTCACTAGACCTACTTTGTCAACAAATTATGCAAGAAGCACAAGATACTTTCATTAGTTTTACCCTCATTTAACTAGTGGGCAACAAGGTAACCCAGAAGCTGGGGGCACTGGGACTTGCCTTCCTCATTCTAGGACACTAAACTTGTGTGATGTTTTTGATGGATGACAGGGCTGCTCACTCTGCATGCGGCTCTCAGGTAACGATCACAGGCCCAAATATGCTGACAACGGTAATCTTACAAAGCCCTTCCTCTGACGCAGAAATCTTTGGGCACTTGGGCGCTCAGCAGCCTCCCTCTGCTCTCGCAACCACTGGCAGGAACGTGCTTATTAAAGGAAAGGACTAGGGCCAGAGAAATAGCTCAGCGGACTAAGAGCCTGCTTAGGCAAGCTCAGGGACAGTGGTTCTATCCCCCGCACCACATGCCCAGGCCACACTGGCCCCGCCCCCAGGCACTCTGAGACAGCCACTGAGATCCAGCATGGTGGCACACACCTGTACTCCCAGTGTTGAGACTGAAGACAAGAAGATCACTATGAGTCTAAGCTATGTGGTGAGACCCTGTACCAAATACACAAAAAACAAGCAAATAAATAAATAAATGGAAGGGACCCACAGCTCCCTGTAGAAATGGACATGTACACGGAGCACAGGCACTGCTGCAAACACAAGCACCCCACTTCTCCAACCATGTGCAAGCAGACCTCTAGGTCAAAGCCCAGTGCTGAAGGACACAGGGTAAAACGCCAGGACAAGCAGGAAGGCCAGCCCACTAGTGGGCAGGAAGAAGAACTCGGAGGACTGGAGAGATAAAACAGTAAGAAAATACAGGGACTCAGAGTAATATAATCAAAGGATACTTGTTAGGTTTGCGAAGTCCATCGGTCTATTTTCAGCCAGACACCTCATTTTTAAAATGAGGAAAACAATGCCTGTGAGATTTTAGCAGTTGGCCCAAACCAGATCAAAGCTGGAACAAGAGCTAAGTCGGTGTCACATGAGAAAGAGGCACGTTAGCAAACTGATTGGGTGCACGTTAGCAGCCGCACTAATGGAAGTTAGTGGCAGATTTAGCAGTGGCTTAGATTCTGAGATGACACACCTCAAGGAACTTTGTTGTGACAGGATCCATTGCTGATGGCCAGAAAATAGGAAAGATAAAATATTTTCTCAGAGGTTAGTTTGCTCATCGGTGTTGATGGAAATCTTCTGAGCCTTAAACCAAAGTTCAACACAAAGTCTACTTTTTAAATTATCATGCAATTAAGTTATCATCTCTAATCAGCAGGATAAGAGAAGCTGCCACCATTATGAATGAGAATGCAGGCTACACAGTCATCACACAACCTCTTGTCACAAATATTTTGTATAACTGAATAACATCACCATGGACTATTTGCAACCATGCAGATTTCAAAAAAATTGAAGTAAAATGCTATTAAAATTAAATAAACATGTTGAATGTTGTACTGTTGTGCAAACAATTCTTTGAGATCTGCTTCAGGAGTCCACGGCATCAATGAACATTCATCCTGTGGAATATGTAACTGACCTCTCAAAATGCCATTTACTAGGAAGATAAAGATACCGTCCCTGTTCTCAAAGACCTCTCAGAGCAGGACAGCAGTCAGACAAGCAAATCAGCCATCCGGATGCTATGATGAGTGATATAAACTTAAGTATGATGTGTTGTGGAAGCACAAAGAACAATAGTTTAATGAAAGAAAGGGGATGGATGAGAAGAATCAGAACACACATCTCTAAAGTGATTTAAACCTGAATCTTCCCGACTGTTTATTATAAAAGTATCAGCTCAATGTACGAGTGTGCTGACACAAGAAAAGATTTAGTAAGTAGAGTGTCTTCTCTGGAAAATTCTATAGTTAAAATAAATTCAACAGAGTATTACTCAGCCATAAAGAAGACTGAAATTCTTTGCAGCAAAATGCACAGAGCTGGGGGAACATTAAGGGAAGTGGGCTGGACACAAAAAGACAAGGAGGGCATGTTCTCCCTCACATACAGAAAAGCCCAGATGTGTTTATCTGAAAGTAAAACAGTGATTACTAACAACTTGGAAAGGTGTGTGCTGAGAGGGCGGGTGGATGTGATCGGCGTGTGGTACACAAATATGGAAATATCACACTGAATCCCACTGATATGTACAAGTGATACACACTAGTAAAAGATTTTTTTAAAGAGAAAGTGATCTAAAATTTATCTAAAAGGAAAATAAAAGTCTGGGTTAATACTTGAAAGTATTCTTCTTAGTATGTAAATTAGTAATGTATCGCTTACACTTGAATCTTAGTTACATCTTGAAGCAAACAAACAAACCTTAATGGTTCATTCAGAAGAATCTTTTTACAATTCAATGAGAAGAAAGTCTTGTACTAATAGTGTTTAGACAAGACATCATGTCTGCATCTTGTCCTCTGAATAACTACTACAAAGACAACAATATGCAATGTATTAATTATTGTAACTGTCCTACTAACCTGTTTTGAAACTGTTTCATTGATATTTTATCTTTTTTCTCATTAAAATGAGTAATAAAAAATTTAAAAAGAGAAAGAATCTAAGAACTGGGAAATCACTTCTCTAACACATGCAACTCCTCCACCATGGGAAAATCTCAGACAAAGGTCATGATGCTTTACACAGACAGTTTGGTCTTTTCCAAACAGCTACAATATCATTTGCATTTTTTTCTGTTGGATGTAATGGGATTTTTTCAAAATTTACTGAGTATAATAAATATCAACCTAAGACTAAAACAATGCAAAATAAGACTATTGTAAAATGATGATAGATGTTATGCCAGAAATAGCCTTGTGGGGAACAGCAGGCCAAGAAGACAGTGAGCTACACGGGAAGCAAAGCATGACCCACAAGTCATAATTTACCTTGGCAACCTAAGTTTGGCAAGGCTGGAGACATGTCATTTTAATTGCTTCATTCAGAACCAGCTCAATGCCTCACAGAACAAGTGGTAACCAAGGGGCCCTAATTAAAAAACAAAAACAAAAGAAACCTAGCCTGGCATTCTTGCACAACCATCGTCATGCCACACAAGAACTCTCTTGGGATGAAGAGCAAGATCCTGGAGGACATGGATGTCCATGGCTCCAACATCATTCAGAACACCACTAACAAGCTGGACTTAAAGGTCAGTGAGAAAATGGAAGTCGGCACCCGACTCTGTAGACAAAAATGACTCTGCACTAGCCCTAAATTAAGATTCTCCAGACAGTTTGGTTCTGGAGACAGATTCTCCAGACAGATTCTCCAGGAAGTTAGATGAGATCACCTTGGGATTCCACATGTTTGCAAACTTGGTATTGATCTTTCTATTAACATGAACATCTCCTCCTCCCAATTCCTAGATAAGACAATTTTTTACAAGTCCCCAAGTTGTCATCCCAGCCAAGGCACAAACTGGTTCACAGGAGACGGGCCTCTCAGAACTGTGCAGCACTGCCCAACATAGACACAAAGGACTCTGCTAACTTGAAAGTCAAAATAAGGCTGGGGATGTAACTCAGTGACAAAAAACATGTGAAACCCTAGGCTCAAGGCCTCAGCACCAAAAGAAATATTTTTAAAGTCAAAAATATATATTACCCTAATGGATAGGGAATTTTGCTCTTGGAATTAAGACCTATAAGTATCAAATTACTCAGAGAGAAAAATATGAAGATGTTAGTTTTCTAGGAAAATAATTATTTTGAAAAGTCTCCTAGAAACTTAAATTTTCTCTTTGATGTATACGGCTGATACCCTTCTTTCTCTATCTTCTCCTCTTCCAACCTTTCTCTTCCTATAAGAGTCAATCAGCAAGTCCTCAATGATACCAGAAGCCAAGTGGAGCTGATGAATATTATCATCAACAAGAAGTCATTTCTTTTCTTCTGGTTCCCAAAAAAGTATTTTTCTCTAAACTGATGGCGTCCATGATACAACAAATCTAAGGAATAGATAGGTGTCAGGGCTGGAGGAATATGGAGCGAACCAGAGAATACTGCATCAGGATGCAGACCTCCTCAGGGGGAAAGGACCTAGCCTGTATTTTCCACAAGAAAGAAACACCTTATGGTGGCAAAGTCTCTCAGTCTTGCACATTTACCACCAGTCACCTGAGGTCCTCCACATCCTCAGCCTACCTCTTGAGGGCTTGGCTGTTGTTTCAGTACATCTCCCCACAGCACACAGCACTGCGTGAACCCCACAGGGTGCGCCTCAGGGACACTGATAGCACAGGCTCTGTGCTTTGGCGAGGCTCACTTCCCTAACAAAATGGACCTCAGAGAGATGGCCTTCTTAGAAATCAGCCCTTGGTATGAGATCCTTCCCATTCCCTGGGAGATGAATCCTATTCAGATTAATAACATGATGAAGGGGCCAGGGAGATGGTTAGGGGACAGAGAGATGGCTCTGTAAAATAAGCGCTTCCC